AAAAAAAAAAAAAAAAAAGACAGCACAAAGAAAGGAAATCACAGGTACATATTGATACAAATATCAATCCAAAATTTCTAAGTAAAATACTACTGAATAGTCCCTCCAACACTACATTAAGAAAATAATGTACCATGATCAAGTGCCATTTATACTAGGAAAGCAACGATGGCTCAAAATAAGGAAATCTACTAGTATAATTCAACATAAATACATCTAAGGAGAAGTCATATGATTATCTCCATAGATGCTGAAAACCTTTGACCATACTCAGCTCAATTGCTACTAAAAGGATGTGAGAAAACAGAAATGGATGAATACTTCCTTAATATGATTTTTAAAATCTGCACATACATACATATGTGTGTGGTTGTGTATGTGTGCATAACACACACTACCCCGCTCTCCCAATCCTGAAGCCATCATCATACTTATCTGAAGCAGCCCTGCTGAGGAATAAGGTAAGATGCTCACTGTCCCCCTTACTATGGAACATTGTACTGGTCGTATTATACAAAAGAAACAATTAAGAGACTGAAGACTTGAAAAAGAAGTAAAGCTATCTTTTTGCAGATGACATGACAATAACCTGAAAAATCCTTGAGAATAAATGCTAAAACTAATTCAAAAGAACTCAACAAGGTAGAAAAATGTAAAACTGAAACGCAAAATCAGTAGACTTCATATATACAAATAATAACCAGGTATAGGATATAAGAGAAAGCCCTACTTATAATAGCAACAATAAATATAAAATATCTAGGACTAAAGTTAACAAAAAATGTGTGAAATCTATTTAAATAAATGTGTAAAACATCTCTAAAAGACATGAATGTAATCTGGAACAAAGAAAAGGCATCGCTTCTTGGACTGCATAAAACACCATCATCAAAATGTCAGTTCTCCCGAAAATGTGAATTTAAAATGTCCTCAATAAAAATATTGATAAAGTTAATATAGAAAAAATAAACAGAAAAAAATAGCTAGGAAAAAAAACAACACTGAAAAAGAAGAGCTATGGGGGGGGGGTAGTGATTAAACCTTCCAGATATTTAAACATACTACAAAGTCTCTAGAATTAAAACAGCATGGTACTGGAGCATGAATAGACAAAAAGATCAATGGAACAGAAAGTCTAAAACAGACCTAATTATAGATGGTAATTTAGTATATGTTAAAGGTGGTAGTTTCAAGTTACTGGAGCAAAGATAGAATTTTAATAAATGGCATGGGAACACCAGATGGCTATTTGAAAAAAAAAAAGAACAAATTAAACTCATTGTTAATTATTATACATGAGAATAAACTACAAATGAATCATATATATATCTAAATGTACAAAATGAAATAATGCAGGTACTAGATGAAAACACTGGTAAATTCCTCAATAATCTGGTTATACAGGAAGGTGAACTATAACTCAAAATTCAATTGCAGTAAAAATAAGAGACTAATAAATCTGGCTGCATAAAAAATAAACTTTTACTTGGCCAAAAAATACCTCAGGAAAAGTCAAAATATAAAGGACACAATGAGAAATAATGCTTGCAACAAGTATCTCGAAAAAACGCTTAATATCTCTGATATATAAAAAACTTAAAAATTGAAGGAAATACACCAAAATTTACATAGAAAAAGAGGGAAAGACGTTAACAGAATTTACAAAAGATATATAAAAATGGGCTTTAAGCATGTGAAAAGATGCTCATCTTCAAAGTAAACTGCACTAAGATCCCCTTTCTCACCCATCACATTGGCAAAAGCTCAGAGCTGCACTACAGATTCTGCTGGTGAAACTTTGGGGAACCAGAAATTCTCATACATTCCTGATGAGAATGCGAAATGGTAAAACCCAAATGGATTAGGGGAGAAAAAGGATTCTTTATACTATTCTTGGAATTTTTCTGTAAGATTTAAAGTATATAAAAATAAAAAGCTAAAAAATAAGGAGAAAAAGGGAATAAAGTCACAGTGTGATGTAAGTCATTCCTTTCAAACAAATCCATAAAACTGTGGCCAATACCTTCTGTATGGATAAAGAGCTGGAAAAAGTA